AAAAAGCTTTACACAATACTTTAGTATAAGTTTGCACCAAGTTTATCTCCCTAATATGTGAATAAAACATGCTTAAAAAGAACTCTTCCTGTTTTTGAATAAAGCAAAAGTATGTTCTGCAAAACATCAACACAGATGACATTACTGAAACTTGAACTTAACCCAGAGTTCATGTAATTAAAGAGATGCAGATTTACTATCCGTGAGGAAATGATGATTTCATTCTGTTTTGGGACTCCACTCAAACCATCTACTGGAAATCTGCAAGGTGAAACTATGTACTTCCTGGTAAAAAAGTAGAATAAGCCAACTACATAAGTGTATGAAGGACTGCATATTATACTATCTAATCTGGCCAAAAATAGAAGTGGGACAGTAAAGCTTGTATTTTCAGTACTGAATGAAAAGGAGAAAAAAGGAGGGAGTTTGAGGGGAACCTGAAACAACATCAAGAACTAATTCTGACATGAAACTGAATGCAGTCTCAGGTCATGCAACCCACATTCTGTGCATAAACCTGACTCAGACAATGATAACCTCCTAATTACAATTAATAAAACAGTTACCCTTGTAAAGCCAGTCAATCAAATATCTATCTTTACAATTCTGGATCTGATTATAGCTGAATGGCAATGAAATGTAGATGCAGTCATCATTTTATATATATATATCCCCAGTTATGCTAACCTATGATAGTCTGAAGCTGGGTACCAAGCTGACGATCTGAAACTTCTTCGAGCAAACAATATACAACTTTTCCCTCTTACATTGCCTTCTAAGTTTCAGCAGGCATCACAAGTTTCATACAAGCAATGCACATTTTATAATGAAGATGCAAATATCTGAGCTTATAAGAAGGTATAGGCAGTAACACAGAGATTCTTAAGCTTAAGTATGGATTAAATGTATTAACCCAACATTTTTTAAACAAGTTTCTAGTTTCAGTACTAGATTGAACTAACCCAAACTTCCTTATTTTTTCATGGCCACTTTTTCATGACCCTGTTAACTAGTGCTTTCAATAATTCCCAAGCGTACTGTCAATTCCCAAGTGTAATTTCATATAACCATTGCCTACCGAGAGAGCTGGGTTGCCTTCGTCCTCCACAGTGACCACCAGCTGATAGAACTGTTGTCGTTCACGGTCTGGAGGGGAAGGGCGGGTGGCAATTTCTCCAGTCACTCTATCCATGCGGAAGGTCAGTTCTTCATTGCCATGGATGATGTAGTAGGAGAGGACACTGTTGAGGCCACTGTCCCTGTCAGTTGCTCGTACCTGAGCCACAGCAGTCCCTCCACCCACATTCTGTGCAAATATTGGAGTGGGGTTGGGGAGACAAGAGTATGCAGGATGGAGGGAAGAAAATTAGGCCACACAAGAAGTAACTCTGCAGTTTACATTAAATCTGAACCTAGGATTTGACAAAGGCTAATCTATATATGATATTACAATAATGAGACTACTTCTCTTGGCAGAATGGCTATTTTTGTGGGAACTATTCAAGATGATTAATTGAATATTTCACCAAAACTGGAATCCAGATCACAGGGTACAATAAAAAGAAGTGAACTTGAAACTAGAAGGATAGGGTAATGCAGTACTTCCCAAACCTTTTCCTTCATTACCCAAACCCCTAACTTTGAATGGTTGCTGAATGGTCATAATTTGAGGACTACTTGTATTATAAAAACAGTATCACTGAATGATCTTTATGTCATTTCAACAAATTACCATTGGTAATTTCATTAATTTTCATCTTAATAGGAATACTTTAGGAGATTTTCGAATATATTTTAGTACACGTGGCAATCTTTAAGTCAATTTAAATGTCCCTGTTGTGATTGGGTAATGGGATCATGTGTTGTTACCCAAAGAAAAATCACTTTTACCCGATTTTGGATACTTTACCCAGATTTGGGAAGCACTGGGGTAGTCGGAAAGGAGCCTCTTACTTCCAACATTACCATTGGTAATTTCATTAATTTTCATCTTAATAGGAATACTTTAGGAGATTTTCGAATATATTTTAGTACACGTGGCAATCTTTAAGTCAATTTAAATGTCCCTGTTGTGATTGGGTAATGGGATCATGTGTTGTTACCCAAAGAAAAATCACTTTTACCCGATTTTGGATAATTTACCCAGATTTGGGAAGCACTGGGGTAGTCGGAAAGGAGCCTCTTACTTCCAACTCATTCTGCAAGCCAATGTCAGCAACCTTTTGCACAGGTAGAGGGCAAAGCCAGTTAAAATATAATACAAGCAAATTTACTGGATCATTCAGCTAATCTCAACATATATATTTGTGATACTCATGAGATGTGGTGCTGGCTACCAGCTTGGTTGGCTTCAAAAAAGGATTGGATCAATTCATGAAAGTCATGTGGAGCAATGGCTATTAGCCTTGATGGCAGTGTGACTACCACTGAAGGCCACCTGCTGGGAGACCAGTGGGCATCCTTGTGCAGTTGGTTGGCCTGTGTGAGAACAGACTGCTGGACCAGATGGGCCAAGGGTCTGATCCAGCAGGGCACTGCTTATATTCCTATTAGCTCAGTTCAGGTGTTCTACAGACTAGTATGCTCACCTGCAAGCACTCTGATTAAACTCCAGTTCCAGCTGATGTGGCTCAAACATCATCAGCTCCTGAAGACATTGGCACATTCAGTGTTACTGTCTGCAGGAAAAAGCCTGTAGCAGCCATGTGAGTTAGCATCCTGTATTATCAATCTGAATAGAGCTGATGAGAGGTTGGGGCTTCCTCAGAGTGCTCATGTGGTGAATGCTTCCATCGGATGCTCCCATGAGAATAGTATGATGAAGTTTGGAGAAATGGATGCATTTCTCTTTTGGACAAGCATATAAAGATAGCCTTATGCAGTAATCAGAATCTGTCTTTTTCATCAAGTTTTACTGCTTGATTACAAACATCCTGTTGTTTGTATGTTTCTGTAAAAGAATGCATGTGCTACAAAGGTGTATCCTTACAAGCTATAATTAGAGTAAATTAAATTTGTCTGGTTTATCCAAACAGTGGCATTTCTCAAACCTCTTATGCACATTTTCCAGTAAGTAGAAAGGGGATTGCAGCAAGAACAGTATTGCTCTTATATAAATCTTATTTCTTTAAATGAATCTTGAATGGGGACATTTCTTGGTAGACTAACTCAAATATGCAAAGGGATAGCAAGTATCTAAGAAAAATTAAACTCTACTAGATCAGGGACTTCTACACCATAACATATGATGGAGCTAAAGAAACAGTACAACCAGTTTTGGTTAGAACAAAAAGGTCCTAAAAGATCAATGCAAAACTAACCAGAAAGAAACCTTTGAACGTTAGAGAGGCAAAAGCTGATCCTCAAAAAAGGAGGGAGAGAGGTTGGCTGTAGGAAAATTGCAAAAAAATCTAATCTGGATCATTTTGGGCTTTGAGTGAAGGTTTGCCCAGGTTTCTTCTAAGGGAAAAAAAGTATTTAGAAATTATTATAATTCTTTTTGCTTTTCTCAGAATTCCTCAGGGTTTTTTTTTCTCAGTATGACATGAATTTTTATTCTGGCACTCAGAAAGCCCGTAACATTCAGCTGAACTTCAAGTTTAGGATACCAGGGGATATATGGCATTGAAACTTCTAGGTTTGGTTACTCAGTCTTCATAGCTCCCATTTCTACCCACCCAGTTCTCCTTGTGTGCTATCTTCATTTTGCAAATGCACCGAGAATAGATCAACATCATCGGAGGATAAACTATGAAAATTGGTGAAACCAAATGTTGATATCCCTTGTTTTGCATTTATTTAGCTAGCATTATATTCAGTTGGCTTTTCTGGGAAGCTGATGCCTACAATGCCTTTAACAAAGAATATTTTTCATCAGTATTCTCAAATGCTTACATACTGTACAAACAAGCAAGGATGGATTGCACTGAAGTCAGACCCAGTTCCTTCTTCTGCATGAGCAATTTTCATTAGGGATGGGGCCATGAACCTGTCTGTAAAAAGCTAGCAACCAGAAGAACTTCTTACCTCGTTGATGCTAACATTGTATCCATGTTGGTTGATAATGACTGGAGGATTATCATTAACATCCAGGACATTGACTCTTAAGGTGTGCTCTTTCCTGTGAGCTGGGACACCTCGGTCTGCTGCTTGAATCTGAAAGGTAGATGGAACTTAGTGAAACTTAGATGGAACATTATAGTTTTGGTCACGCTATTAGGTTGGGCAAAGCTAGAAGTTCAGGATAAAGGTACTTGTCTGTCAGCCCCAGGACCCCACTCCTTTACTGAAACAAGCCAGTGCTTCACTGTTAGATAGACAGAGATTTGAAGAAAACTCTGCTGAGGATTATTAAGGAAACAATTAAAATAGCATTGCACATTATCAAACAGGTTAATAATCATTCTTGGAATATTGCTATGCAGTTTTGGACAGCATTTCAAGCAGGACATAATAAACTGGTGGAAAATGAGGAAAGGGACAAAAAAACCCCCAAGGAAATGGACTAATTCCCTCATATTGCATAATTACAACATTGGAGGGGTTTTAGCACTAAGCTCCTGCATTAGAATTGTCCTCCTGTTCTGCTTGTGGACTTTCCAGAGGGATCTGTTAGCTGTTGTAGGACTAAAATTCTGGACTAGATATGTAATTGGTCTGCGTCTCCCTAAGTTTTGGAGTCCAAGATCCAGATTCTTATGTCTTGATGTTCTAGTACTTGAAGTCTGGTGACTTATCCTGATTGCAGACCCTGTAAATGCATTTTTGAAGTTTCCACCTGTGTGCCTCACTTTTCACTCCATCATTTTATATTCCTACCAAACAGAGAGCCTACAATGGCTTGGGATCACTTGATTCTCACACCTGCTTTTGTATTGAAACACAACTAGAACTTCCCCTTCTCCATTCACCTCAGACTAAGGACAGGAAGGAAAAAAACCCTCTTGATTGCCTTTCTCCATTCTTCACTACATATATTCCAGCTCATTATTCCCCCTTCTCACATTCACTTGGATCAGTGCCAGCATCTAACACTTCCTTCCCGTCAGAAAAAGAAATGTGTTTTTGTCTTTTATTAGCTTTTTAATAAACTCTGTTTTATTCAAATTCTGAAGTTTGTTTGTTTGTTTGTTTACATGGCCATCCATTTAACCAAAAGCGAACAAAAGATAAAAACACAATAAACATTTGAAATCAGTTAAAATCAGGGGCCCTGTAAACATCTTCCTGCCCATATAATGACATACGTGCTGGGCTTCACTAACAGCCCCAGTGCCTGATAGAGAAGCCAGGTCTTCATAGCCCTCCAATAGGCCAGCAGGGTTGGAGCTATCCAAATCTCTCAAGGGAGGTGGTTCCATAAGGCATCCATGATGACAGAGAAGACACACTTCCTAAATCCTTTCAGGTGACACTGCCAGATCCAGTGGAATGGGCAGAGACCACCAGGAATAGATGGTCCCACATGTAACCTGGTCTCCTGCCATGTAGGGCATAAAAGGTGACAACCAGTACATTAATTGGATCCAGTGGGAATCAGTACAGGTCACCTAGCAGTGGTGTTAGATGGGCAAAACTGCAAATGCTACCACATTCTAGACCAGCTGAAGCTTCTGAATGCTCTTCAAGGGCAGTCCCCTATACAGTGCATTGCAATAGTCCAGTCAAGAAGTAACTAAGGCATGAGCACCCATAAGCAGCACCTCCCAATCTAGAAATAGGCACAACTGGCACACAAGATATATTTGTGCAAATGCTCTCCTGGCCATGTCTGCATCTGTTCCTCAGCCGGAGCCATGAGTCCAGGAGGACACTAGATTGCACACCAGATCTTTTCCTTGTACAAATTCTATCTCTCTGGTATAAGTAACAATTAATGAGCACATAAAATTCCACTTTGGAACAGAAGTTTGATACGTGATGTAACAATAATGTCTTCTAGAATTTCTGCTGAAAGTCAAATTACAAACAAATACATAATTGAACTCTTACCTGCCAAATAATTTAGCAATGCCTTTCAATTCAAATTATGCATGAATCTTTCATACCTGCATCATGACAGGTATATTCCACACAATAATTCAAGATGCAAGTTTTCTCCCATATATAGGAATATGAAATCAGCAACTAAAATAATTCAGCTATTTGTAGATGGCACACTTGGGATTACAGAGTGACTAGAGCAGTATTTCTCAACCTTAGCAACTTTAAGACGTGTGGACTTCAACTTCCAGAATTCCCCAGTCAGCATGGCTGGCTGGGGAATTCTGGGAATTGAAGTCCACACATCTTAAAGTTGCCAAGATTGAGAAACACTGGCCAGGAGATCAACAAGCACATCACATCCAGGCCAAACTATTTATTTGAACATCACAAATGGCATTACATCACAGTATAACATTTGGATGACAGTCAGTTCCTAGTTACCTGTAATGTGTAGCGTTCTATTAGTTCCCGGTCCAATAGTCTTGCCACAAACACTTCTCCATAGGTGCTGTTGGTTGTACGAATTTCAAAAGCCCTGCCTATATTTCCCGATATTAGAGAAAAAACAACCTGCATTAAATAAAAATAAAAAAAATAAAAAAATATGGTGAAAGGGTGGATTAGAGGATGTGAATGGAATCAGTCCATTGGCTAGAAGTGTAACAAATTTATACGGCATTATAACTGGTTCTTTTTCTTCTATGGAGTAGAAAGTTCTGTCCTCAGTAATACTTCTAATTCTTAGCCTAGAATTTACTTGTTTTGTATCTGACTGTGCTGGATGTGTGTATATACACAAATAAAAATAAAGGCTGGGTTTTGTGAAACAGTGTTAGGAAAAAAAAAATTGGACACCTAAGTGTAGAGGAGGCTAAATGAGGGCTGATAATTGGACTAAGTGAATCAAAAACTAGTGAAGCAAAACTGATATGTCAAAAGTGAGCTTGCGAATGCTACCTTTATATTTGGAATGAATATCACTCAGTAGATATTCTCTAAATTCATATGAAAGCAGATTCTTCCCATTAAGAATGAAACTTTGGGGTTTTTGTAGCTACCTCAGGTAGCAAACTAAAGGAAAGAAATGCGCCACACCTTAAATGCACAGTGCTTCCTGTTTAATATTGAAAGGACTTCCTTTTGGTACATTGAGCTGGTAAAAGGGCTTCATCTGGGGTTTTCTTTGCAGCTTTTTCAAGCCCATTGTCCTAAGTCAGCTGTTAAGCAGCTTCTTGGCACCAGAGGAAACTGTTTGAGATGTTGTTTTTTCCTATTTTATTTAACAGCCACCTGGCTAGCTGTTGCCCTATAGGCCCTGAGCTATCTTGCTTTCTAAGATGAAGTTACACCAAGCCAAAGGGAAGAAGAACATGTGGTTATATAATTTATGAGATGGGGTGTGACTGGCGGTGAATGCTGTGAGCTCCAGAAATATTTCGTGTTGTTTTCGCCAGCAGCAGGAAGTTTGCTTTTACATAGTCCCCTCAAAGGAAGAACAGATGATCTGAAGAAACAGTGTTGATGAAGACATGTATTGAGCCAGCAAAAAGAATGAAGTTGCCATTTCAACCTTGAATATTTGAGGAGGGTGAGGAATAGCACTCCAACATTTTTCCTCTTCTAGTGCTAACAATGTGGAGCCCATGGGAGCAAGTATATTTGTCTATGACCTTCTGCATTTCATCCGGTCTCAAGAGAAATCTCTCAGTTGGCTGCATATATTAAGTTCTTTTTTAAACCACACTTTATTTGAATTCCATAACCTTGGGTTTCTCAGAGCATCTACTCTTCTCAATAACAATCAGAAATCATAACAGAATTAATGTAAATTCTAATGTATTTTGTTCTGGAGTGGAAGTGGAATGTATTTTGTTCTGGAGTGGAATTCTAATGTATTTTGTTCTGAGCCAGTAGAATAGAAGGCTGAAGGTCTCAAATTTCTTCTCCTAGAAGCTCTCTGAGTCTTCACAATCCTGTTCTGAAATAGCAGTTTGGTAGTTCCTGCTATTGTTCTCTTCCATGGGGTGCTTCACCTGATGTCCACCTGAAACACTGGTGTGTGACAGAGACAAGGATCTCACAACTTGTGCTGGTGATTAACATGTAAAAATGAAAAAAGAAACATGATTTTAACAGTTCTACCTCCTAGCTATGCAGTATAGGGATATCTGACTAGATGACGGGTCCTTCCTTCCTTCCTTGAGAAATCTATCAGAAATAAACAAAATCAAGCTTTATTTTAAAGACGTCAAAACACTGAAGTGTTAACCAAATGTTAAAATGCATACAGAAATTAGGAGAAGGCATTCCAGATCTATCTGAAAGAAAGAAACTTCAATGCGGGTGACAGTAAGGCACTCGTGTGTTACAAATAGCTCATGTTTGCCCTAAAGCCTTACAAAAAAAAGGAGCTGATTACATACTTCAGATTAATATTGCAGCTCACAAGAAAATCATAGAGAAAATGTGGTATCTTCCTACCCATCCTAACAGAGGGATAAAAGGCTGAGGTTGCAAGGTCAATTTAACTTGTCCAGAAAAGTAAGAACCCCGGACAAAACAGACAAATAAATTAAAAAACCACACCCAAGTTCCTGGGTGTCCCCCACCCTCTTTTTTTTTTCTAGAGAACCAGCAGTACTGAAAGCATATTGTCCTCTGCTTCCTGGACTTTGCACTTCTAGGCAATGTTAAGGGCTGGAAAGTATACCTGTTCTTTAATCAGAGGCTGCAGAAAGATGGTAAATCCCACAGCTTCTCTGGACGTCTTCTCTAGTTTCACAAGGACTATTCTTGTTTTTTTTCCCAGCAGGGGGAGGACCTGGAATAACCTGGTTTGTGCATTCCTATTTATGGGGATTGTTTGGGCCTGCACCTTGTACATTCAAATACATATATACATACTTATACCACAGTATTAAAATGTAGCATAAATGCAAAATATAGAATGATAACGGACCTTGAAAAAAAGTAGAATAAGCCGAATATGAGAAGCTACTTCTTGCTACCACCTAGGAATTGTATACTATTGATTTGATACAGCCTGACAGACTCTCATCTAGAGATGTATATTTTGTGAGCCAGGAGTGAGCAGGTAACCTAGGATAAATTGGGCTTAGTACTCTGAGCTTGCTGTACCTAAGGAAAGAAACCAAATATCTCTGTAGTACAAGGGTAAGTCACTTGTCATAAATTTGCAATGCTTCCTTCACAGCTATTTCTGTGATCATGAATACTGTGCATATCTAACTGGAAAGGACCACAAGTTCAGTCTGGAGTAGGATGTATGAAATAAAAATGAAACTAATTTGTTATAACAATCAGGAAGACAAGAACCCATCCTATTTCAATACCCCTTACTACAATTTAGGAACTGTATACGGTGAAGCTACATGGTTGCAGCTACCTGCCCGTTCTTTCCTGCATCAGGATCTCTGGCTAAAACCAGAGCGATTCGACGTCCAACAGGGCTGTCCTCTGTTACACTCACAGAAGAGTCCGAAGTAATGTCAAACTGTGGGCTGTTGTCATTCTCATCCAATATGGTGATAGTAACCTGTCCAGTGGAGAAGGTGGATATGAATGATACTTTTTATAAACTAGAGGCAAGGAAGCCTTACAGAGAAATGACGACAAGCTACCAATGGATTTGTTCTAAGCCAGCTTCTATACACTGCAGTGGAACTGAAGTTGCCCCTGAAATCTACAAACCTGCCCCTGAAACTGGGATTTCCACCATCCCTAGAAATAAAATCATAACACTTAACTTTTTGCATACACTTTTGCACAGCTTTCCTAGCAAGATTATTATACTTTTAGGATCATTTGAAGGTATCATCTACATCAAAAGGCAGGAGCTCTTATTTGAAAGACTAGTTACCTCCTTTTTTTTGAGACTGAAGAAATAGTAACTGAATCTAATATTTGTTTAACGTGGGAAACTCACTCTAGTTTCAGCAGGGTTTATTTCAAGAGTGGACAAGATAGCAATCTGGCTACTTGCAAATAATTCTAATGTAAGGGTCCCTCTAATAAGCCCACAAATGGACTAACTTCCCATTTAATATAGAGGGTCCAGACCTGGCTTCACTGGTCTTATCACAAACGAATTGGTGTGAATTCAGCAATACTTGGAAAGTTGAAGAAATAATGACTTCATGAAACTCTCACAGCAACCAAATGTTTTCACTGTATAGTGTGAACCGTCTCTTAATAACTGTGTTAAAGTGTTAGGCTGTTAGGGATGTATTGCAGCTGCAGATGTGAGTTAAGAATCAATCTGAGATAATTTTGAGCCAGTAACTAAGGAAATACTGTCATGTCTAAAAATAACTGCACTTGTAAACATGCCCTACTCAAAGGAGTATGGGTCTATTTATGAAACTTTATTTATTTGGCTAAAGGCTTCAGAGATAGGATTAGCCAACATAGCTGGATTCTGGAGAAAAGCTCAGAACCTCCTCTTCTTTCACTGGGAGTGGTTTTGACAAACTTTTTCTCTCCTCGCTAAAATTAGTATTTCAATAAAAGTCATGCTCAGATATCTGTACAAATGAATACTGGCAGTATTCTACACCCAAAGCTTGATTTTCTACTCTTCTAGGTGCAGTTCGATGTTCTGATAGTCCTCTACAAATCCATTCATGCTTAGGGCCTCAATATGAGTGGAACTCCTTCTCTCTAATTCTGCCCAACCTATAAGATCAGAGAAGGTTTGCAAACTCCAGGTCCCATTGATAAAACAATGACATCTTATGGGATCCAGAAGGCATGCTTTTTCTATCACTCTCCCTGTCCTTTGAAGGAGCATCCCCACCTCCCACCCCACACCCCAGGGTCCATATGGCTCTTAAAGACCTGACTCTTCTCATAATCACTGTCCTGGGAGGGATGGTGTATGTACCTGTTAGAAAGTTATGTTCAGTGAGTCTGTCTTCCCCAGGCATGATTGTTTTATTATCCTGAGACTTTAGTTTTTATATATTGATGTTTTAACCATCTTGTAAACTGCCCAGAGTTGCTCGGCAGTTAGGTGGGCTTAGAAATTGAATGAATGTGAAATTGATATAAGAGTCTCCTGGAAGATATGCAACAAGAACATCTTAGGCCAGTGTTCCTCAACCTTGGCGACTTGAAGATGTGTGGACTTCAACTCCTAGAATTCCCCAGCCAG